CATAAATTATATGCCATGTGAAAATGTGATTAACGTCGAGATTAATTACTTTACGTGTGATACAGAGTAACTTTTTTTTCTCGTTTTGTCATACACTGGAGATTTTTTTTTAAGCTGGATGATTACATAACTGGTAAAATTTTATCATTAGAAGACGATCAAATGGCGCTACGAGAACTGGGCGCTTCCAAAGCACAGGCGGTTCGTTTCATAGCTTCCCACGGATGGTTGATTTGTTGATTTAAACTGATTAAATTGTTTTATGTGATTTTTCTTTTTTTCATAATTTTCTAATTATTAACAAATCATTTTATTCGCTAAATTTTATAAGTTTTATCAGTTGCTACTTTTTTAATTTACGCGATAGTTTGCGATGATGCATATAATTAAATTCATTTATAGCTTCCGATAACATATGGTTGCACCGATGGCTTAACAACAGTGACGTCGACGTTACGTGGTACGACAGTCTCAAAAGGCCGATTAATTCCTGGTGCAAATAATTCTTGTAAGTTTCATATTACATTTTTTTGCAAAATTTCTTTCAACTGCATTTCTGAGATTTCCTCGTAATTCAATGCAAAATGCCGTTTTTGCTGGTGCCAATCGGAACCTTTATCATCCGGTGGCATATTTTCTCTTCTATACTTTGTTTCTTTTTTTTTTTAAAAAAAAATAACAAACGAAAGATAGTTAGTTTTAGTTGATTCGGGTCAAAATATATCGCCTATAAACTCGATATCAATTACTGGCTCACACTGTCGCCAAATAGTATCATCAAGTGCTCCGGCTAGTAGTTTGGATATGGAAGCACTAGTGCGGAATGTTAGTCAGGATATTGGCAATGATCAAGATTTCTATCGTGAAAGGAGAAAAAAAGATATACATAATATGAGTAAGTATATTACATTTTCAAATGTTCATTCTGCATTTGAAAGAATGGGAATACGGAAATATAATTATGATTTATTTTCGGTAAATGCAACTTTACTACATTGCAGTTGTTTTTGTTTCTTTTTTTTTAGGTTGAAGATGTAAGAATCTCACTGTCTGAATTCATTATTCATTTCCAGCTCTTAAGAGTAGATGAAGTAATGTTTCTTATAGCCTGAACAGATGAAGAAACGTTTCGCTCATATAAACTGACAATAGTTGTTGATTTTCTAGTTTTTTTTTTTTTTGTTTTGTGATTTAATTAATTTTGTAAACGTTTGCTGTTATAGTTGAGCGAAGAAGGCGTTACAATATCAATGATCGTATAAAGGAATTGGGACTTATGCTTCCTAAAAGTTCATCGGAGTAGGTGTTTCGAAATTTATAAAACATTCATTTTCCTGAAATTTTTTTCTACCATCGGAATTTACGTTCATTATCAAGTTTCTTTTTTTTGTCTTTGTAAGTCATACAAACAAGTTTTTTTTTTTGTACTATTCTAATTTTTGGTTATATTTCAGAGAATTGAAGCTAAATAAAGGGACTATATTAAAAGCTTCATGTGACTATATCCGGCAATTACAAAAGGATCGTGAATTGATGCTGCGTCAACAACAGTACCAGGCGAGGTTGGAACAGGCAGCACGGATGTATGCCGATCGGGTTAAAGTTAGTAAATTTCGTTAATTTAATTAATTTTATTAGGTGTACTATATTTGATAAATTTTATAAATGAGTCTTGGACAGTTACCGAAAACTCAAACTGCTATTTCATTTTTTGCATCTATTATACATCGAGAAAATCTGTCAATGCAAAATTTTTTAGGAGTTGAAAATTGATAAAATGATTATATTATAAATTATTAGGATTGATTTCGACTGCACTTTATGATTAGAAAAAATTTGAACTGTATGATTAACCGTTCTCTTATTCATATCTTCATAGTTGTAAATTTTGTGTAAATTACAGGAGCTTGAAAATCATTTGCAAAAAAATGGCATTGCTATACCACCAGCTTCGGTAAGTTTACCACCGATACCATTATCATCATTTTCTAACGATGAACGATCCATAAAACAAGAACCATTCGATGAAATTCCTCCTTCACCATCTCATACGCCATCTAATTGTATTGTTCGTTTTTTTTTTTTTATGTTTTTTAAATTGAAAACAATATTTTTAGTAATTCAGATTGATTTATGTATAAAAATATTTCATATGCGATTCATTAAAATTATATTATTATTTTTTTCTGTTGATATGATATAGTTCTGAAGGATGTATAGATAGAAAACAAGAAAATGAGGTATAATTTTCTTCTAGAATTCCACTGGATTTGTGTCACAGTTAACTGATACAACAGCTGCCATTTCAATCAATAGTCCAGCATCCGGTTTGAATAATCGTCGAGATGGTGGTTCATTTTTGAGGTATATTTTTAAGTGAACGAATGATGATGATGAATCTCGTTAACATGCATATTTCATGATAATGGTAGTTTTAGTGCAACGGATAATCCGTATTCTGCAAATACTTTTACTCAGTCAAATACACCATCGTTGAATTCGCAACAACAAGGATTTCCGGACCTTATTATGGATGATTTAAATGCAATGCGTTCCATTCTACAGGTTTTGCATTTTCATGCCTTTTGAGTTTAATCTAATTTTAGTCCAGTTTTTTTTTTCTTTTTACTCCATCAAGAAATATCTATTTCCAAATATTTCACCATTTTCTGGACTAATTTATTAAAATTGAATTTTATAGGATGATCCAATGATATCAGCAACTGGAACTGGGCCATCACCATCAACTAATTTGAATAATCAATTGTCACCAGATATACTATGGGATCATGCAAACTTCTCACCGGACAATCAACACAATCAAACAGCTACAGCTAATACATACCATGAACAAGGCAATATGGATTTCACATAAATGCGTTTTCCATATTTGAATATTTTTTTTATGGATCATAAAGTTTTAGACGTTCCTATGGTTACCGGATTGTATCATTTTCAAACAAAAACTTCATTTCATTTTATGAATACATTGTTCATTTCATCCCATACATGCTACCCCATTTTCGTTTGTTTGTACATATATGCGGGTACATTTATCTGCATATTTCGGAAGACCAGAAATGTTCTTTTTTTTCTAGCTGTTAATTCTTTTTTTTTTTTGATTTTGTACAGGGTACATATACGGGATTTTGCTATGCGGGACTATAGAAAATGCTTGGGAAAGAAAATAGAATAAGAAATAAAATTTTTTCCAGTATTATTAGTAGTTTTGATACAACATTTCTGGATTTTATAAAAAAAAGAACAATGATCCCGCATTGTAAAAATGTTAGCCCCGGAATTGACATTTTCAGGAATTTCACTCGTGTTGTGTGTTTTCGGGTTTTTCTTTCTTTTTTTTTTCAGGAATTTTGTGAATTTTAGTCTAGTTTTTGTTACTTTTTGCAAATTTTCTTTCCGCCATACTTTTTTCCGATGAATTTATGCTGTTATGGGTTTAAAAATTTATATAAGTTTACAAGCGATATTATAATCCCAGCGTTGAATCAGCAGATTGAATTAATCTTTCACTTATTAAATTTTAAACTTCTTAAAAACTCTACCTTTATTTGATAGTTTCAAATTTCACAAGTTTCAATTTTCATTAACATGAAGTAACAACATTCAGTGCCGTTTCATAACAGAATCAAATGATGATGTCCATCTCTTAATTTTTACTTTTCATTAGCATATACCATAATATAGGAATATTTTTGCCATCATTTTAGCCTCATTTTATTCATAAAAATTCATCATTACATCACTATGGAAAGTTTTCAATTCTAGGTGGTTGACAGATTTTGTAATTGTCTATGTTGGCCGTACAAACAATGCCTTTTGTCGTGAACTGTTTTTTGCAAATTGAATTCCTCATAATTTGTACACTTTTTTTCTTCCGTTACTTTTTTTTGGTCTGTAAATATATGTGAATGGATTTTTCTTTCTCCATAGATTTGATACTAAAATACGCGCGATATGAGATTTTTTTTAAAATACAATCAATTTACAATAAGCATGAAAGAGCTGTAACAAACAGAATTTGAAAATTTTTAAAAATTACCGGTTGTCATAATGACTCATATCGTAAAAAGGAAAGAATTTAGACGTTTCTGTAAACCATGAAAAACTAATTTTTACTTTTCTTATACTTAACATTCATACAGTAGTAACGGATAAAATTCCGTCAATAGGACGACTAGAAATATCACGATTTGCATGAGCCATGAATTCTTGAATAGTGGTGAATTTGTCTAGCAATGGGTTACCTTTTCGACGCATCATTTTTTTTCGTGATAGCTGTACAATCAACTGAAATGCGGCAAAAAGTTTGAAGTCGAAATACTCATATTCTATAAAAAATCGTATGGATAAATTAATTAATTGTTTTATTCCATTGAATTGTTCGAAATTATCACTTACCTGATCTGATGGTTGTTGATTTCGCTGGGCCATTAATTGATGGTATCGTAATTTGCGTTGTTTGGCTCGTTCCCATTGCTTTTTGCGCTCTTCCCGAGTCCAAAATCGACCAGTTTTCAGTTCACTCATCGCATCATCATCTGTACTTACACCTGTGCGCTCCTAAACAAGAGTTTTTTCAAGAATGATTCTTTCGAAACATTTAAATAATTTATTTGATATAAGAAGCAAGGGAAAATTTTCTTATGAAAACTGAAAATTCGAAAAAGAAAAGGGCAATTCACTTTGTTTAATTGTTCCTCTCTTTCTTTCAATAATTTATTTCGAATTGGCTTCCGCGTAATATATCGTGTCCCATCTGGACGTCTTTTTATCTAAAATATCATTTTTTCCTAAATTCAATAAGTAACAAACTTCCATCAAATATCAAACATAATAACGTGTTTTACAAATTTCATGAACTTGAAAGATGTTTGGATTAGTTAGTTATATGAAAATCAAGTTTTACTGATAATTTTTGTAATTTTAATTAACTTTAATTTCAGAAAATTAAATTTGATTGTTAATAAAAGATACAGAAACATTATTTTTAGCGATTTGTTCCCTAATTCATTAGCTGAAACCACATAATTCATAATCTTGAATGAACTTTATATGGTCGAGTATGATATGATCGATAATGTCAACTACGAAATTACATGAAGCAATCGACCTGTATTGTACCTATTAGTAACTTATGAAATACCATTTTATTTCTATTAGTATTGCTTAATACGCAAAAAACCTGCCGCGATGGAACTGAATGATGAAAAAAATATGTCAGACTTCAGTATTTCACTTTCACAATTAACAAGAGAAAATTATTTGCTTATAATTCACATTACTTCTGTTAATTAAAACATTATCAATTCGGATTATTCCTGAAAAATGAGCTTTTTTTGATAGAAATTGCTAAAACTTCTATTAACATTTATTTTATTTTATTGATACAATTTTCTTTTTTCAAAATATTTTTTCGCCCAATCATTTATCTTTCAGGAAATACTACCATCAATTAAATGGAAGCAGCAGTTGGTCATTTTTAGAATTACTTCCACTAACAATAACCAACCTTGAGAATGCAATAGTTGAAATGAATCGGAAATAAAAAATTAATAAAATTTATAATCGAAAAAAAAAACAAAGCCTCACAAATTAAAAGTTAATGATCCTAAATTCCACAATACAAGAGTGTTATGCGTACTACGAAATTTTCAAAATATATTATTGGAAACAATATTTAATTTCAACATGATATTTATGAATTGATTTTTTTCTTTCCTTTTTTTCAAAATTTTGAAATTATTGAATTGCAAATAATATTTGTATGACTTATAATTTCCGGAATAATTTGAAGGAAAAAAAAAGATTTAATGCATACATATGTAATTAAATATTAATTAGCATTCCGGAAAGTGAAAACAATGGAATTTTTACCTTCCATTCGCATGCTTCCTGAATTTTATTCTCCTGAAATTGTTTCATTGCTGATCCTTCCATTCTTCCTCCTTCTTCACTTTCATTATTAGTTGTAGCGCTAATTGTAACGCTTTTAGCTGATGCTCGTAACATATGAGCTTGTTCAACCATTGCTTCACGTAGTAATCGTTGTTGAAGAGCTATTGTTTCTGCTAATTTTTGTGGCATCGTATACATTGTTATGCCAGCTCTATCACTTTAAACAATTACATCAATAATAATAATTATTATTATTATAGCAATATCAATCAGCTAATTAATTAATTAATTTTTTAAAATGATTTTCTTTTTTGTTTTTTCTCAACATACTTATTGCTCAGCTTTTCAACCTCTCATACAATGTGTATGCTTTTTTTTCACTTTCTTTCTCTTTTTTTTGCTTCAAATTGAATAAAAAATGTGAATTAATTGATTAAAAAATACGGTGATAAATTACAAACAATTACAATTCCACTGAAAATTTTTGAACGAAATTCTATCAAGTAGCATATTTCGATGTTTCTTCACATTTTTATTACGATTAATCTCATTAAAATTAAAAAAAAGTTCATTATTCTGCATTACTTAAATTTAACATATATGTATATATAGAAAAAAATAATGATATAAAAATAAATGAAATTGAAAAATTTAAATGCTACCTTTGCGGCCTATAAGTTTCATCAATCATTTGTGTTATCATTGGTCTACGTTTCTCATTTGTCCTCACTTTTTCTTCTTCATCATTTCCTTTTGCTGCAACATCTCCTTTTTTCTCACTTTCTCTCAAAATCACTGAATATTGCGGTAATCTGAAATTAAAATAATCAATTTCTCGAAATATCTCAGAATTTCATTAATCGAGCATTTTTTTTCAATTACGGACTTAAAAATTTTTATTATGATGTTTTTTTTTTTCTTTGAATAATGATATGATATAGCAGGGAAAATTTAACTTATGAGATCAAAAATTACCTAAATTTAACTTGCGAAATTTGTGAAGTGGATGGCTTCTGTGACGCTATACATTGAGCCGTATTATCGGCAGAACCATGTAATGTTGTTGCAGAATCGCGCGGTTGCATGCTAGCATTACCTCTGAAAATTGAATTTGATATTGAGATCAAATGTTGCTGAAAATGAGAAAGTTGACTGTTTGAAAATTAAAAATTTTAAATACATTGTTATTTGCAAATTTATGTAAAATGACAAATTGTTATTCCGTATAATCAATAATTTTACACATAAATATCGGTGATTTTTTGATGCGAACAAATTGGAACAAAAATTTTCTATTCCGTGAAAATCACTTAGAATTTAAATTGATTATAAACTCATTAAATATGAATTAAATTTGAAATCACTTTTTAGTTTGAGCAATAGCATCTGGTTTCAATGGTGTACTGCGGCATGATTCACCAGTATTGTAAGCACTTGATGTATCATCCAATCTTCGTTTTACATCATCATTTAATTTATGTACATTCTGATCATTGTTTGATACATGTAGCATCTGAGAATTCAATTAATTACAAATATTTCATTAGCTAATTGTTGAGTTAATGAATTAGTTGATCAAATTACTCTTTATATGGCAATAAAATTTGTTTTTCACAGACTAAACCTTCAAGCAACTAATAAAATTTACCTAAACTTTCAAGTAACTCATAATTTAAAATCAATATTGAATTTGAAAACAAATTATGATTAAGTTTTAATATTTCTAATGCTTTTCATAAATTTATCTTTCTTGTCTTCATTTAAACTAATTATCAATTATGTTACTATAAGTTCAATCATTTACAAAAAAAGATTATTTATTCATTAGTGAAAAAATCTACCTTAAGGAAACCACGTCCATTATCATTGTGTTTCAAAATAAGCCTATCACATTCCAGACGTATAGTTTCCATTTCTCGATGCAACGATGCTAATTCTCGTTCTAAAGAACATTCACTTGCACATCTGGAAATAAAAATTTTGCTTAAATTTAAATTCAACTTGTTTAAAAATCAAAACTTATTCATAAACTTGAAAAAAGAGCCTAGCTGAAGATCATAAGAAAAAAGTTTAGAAAAGAATTCAACACTGTTCATCTTTACAAATGTAACTTTTGGATAGTCTTCTGTCATTTCTTCGATAATTTTTCATGTAGCTGAAATTCGAATCATTTTAATCTAACCTTCTTAAACTACAGTCTGTTACTTCCGGCAAATCATTCAATGAGTCCATTGATTGATTTAAACTGCTCGATATTGGAGCAGGTAATAATTCCGCATCCGAATCAGTCATTCTCGATAGACCAGAATCCTAGAACAAAGTATGATATACTAATTAATAACATAACAATCGAATTCTTACATCCTAATTGGTACACAGTATACAAACAGGTCAAATATTAAGAATTCAAATAATACCAGAAAATATAATCTAACAAACTTCTATTTTAAAATTTTCGATTCCACAATATCTCTTTTTCTCTCCTGTTTTTTCTCTCTCTTTTTAAATCTTTTATGCAAAATTTTAGAGGACCATTTAACAAGAGAAAAATGAAGACAGATATTTCGGATAAAGATTTCAAGAACATATACATTTTCAAATAATTCTAAAATCCACTACCATTCAAAATATGAAAGTTTGCTAGATAAATAAAAAAAAATAACTTTTTCAAGGGTAGAATTACTGGAATTAGCATCGGTCAGTGCATCTTTATCGTCATCATTACAACCTTCTCCTGTTGGTTCCAGTAACAATTCAAATTCTTCATTCTAAACAATGAGAAAAAAAAATCAAAATTTACAAATTTTTAAATTCTCTTAATTATCCATCAAGCATCATTAATACCTATTTAACAGTATCAGTTTTACACACACTCTTCTTACTTCCAATAATCTCAAGTAGTAATTAATGAGGGAAAGAAAATAACCTGGATGGAACGTGCAAGTAGCAAAGATATTTCATTACCGCTATTACGAAAT